TGGCTCACACCTATAATCCTAGCACTTTGGGAGGCCGAGGTGAGAGGATTGCCTGAGTTCGAGACCAGCCTGGGCAACTTGGTGAGACCTCATCTTTACAATAAATTTTTAAAAAGTAGCTGGGCATGGTGGCGCATGCCTGTAGTTCCAGCTACTTGGAAGACAGAGGTGGAAAGATCTCCTGAGCCCTACAGGTCAAGGCTGCAGTGGCCATGAGCATGCCACTGCACTCCAGCTTGGGTGACAGAGTGAGATTCCAACTCAAAAAACAAAACAAACCAAGTAGCTGGAACTACAGGTGTGTACCACCATGCCCAGTTAATTTTTTGATTTATTGTAGATACGAGGTCTCACCATGTTGCCCAGACTGGTCTCAAACCCTCGGGCTCAGGCATTCCTCTCACCTCTGTCTCCCAAAGTGCTCAGATTACAGGCATGAGCCACTGCACCTGGCCTGAAACTTGCATTTTCTATATTTTGACTATTTTCATATTGAATCCTTCAGTGCCTTAAGGAAAAAAAGAGATTTCTTATTATCCAAAAGAACTTTGATATGATGTTCCAAAGAATGAAAATATGAGCGGCTAGGCACAGTGGCTCAAGCCTATAATCCCAGCACTTTGGAAGGCAGATTCAAGACCAGCATGGGCAACTTGGTGAAACCTCATCTCTACAATAAATCAAAAATTAGCTGGGCATGATGGCGGATGTCTGTAGTTCCAGCTACTTAGAAGGCTGAGGTGGAAGGATTGCCTGAGCCCAGCAGGTCGAGGCTGTGGTGGCTGTGAGCATGCCCCTCCACTCCAGCCTGGGCAACAGAGTAAGACTCTGACTCAAAAATGTAAAGAAAATATGAGTGTTTTGGTAAGTAGAGGTAAAATAACCCAGCAGAGAACACATGGGAAAGGCAATGAAAAGAAAGCTCCTTGAGCATATGGATAACCAAAGGATCCCAACTTCTGCACTTTTTATTATGCTTATGCTATTCTGTATCCTCATGGGTCACTCAGCTCTACCTACAATAATGAAAATTTGGTTAGTTACATGTCTAACTTATTCTAGGGTGTACCTTCTCTCACTCTCGCTTATGCAACTAGGGATCACATCTGGAACTTCACGTTTATTTATGTGACTGTTGATCATGTTGGAACTTCACATGTGTTTATCCCCTTCCTCAAGGATTCTAGTAGAAATGAGTGAATGAGGCATTTTGGGTACTGTGGTGATTCCTGCTATAGATCCCTTAATTTTTATTCTATTTGTTGGATATTTACCAACTGTATTTCCATTTTCTTTGTTTTTTTTTTTTGAGTTGGAGTCTCACTCTGTTGCCCCAGACTGGAGTGCAGTGACATGCTCCTGGTCCCCGCAGCCTTGATCTGCTGGGCTCTGGCGATCCTTCCGCCTCAGCCTTCCGAGTAGCCTGAACTACAGGCGCGCGCTACCGTGCCCAGCTAATTTTTTTTTTATTGTAGAGACGAGGTCTTACCAAGTTGCCTGGGTGAGACTTGAACCCGCTGGCTCAGGTAAGCCACTTGCCTCAGCCTCCCAAAGTGCTGGGATTACAGACTGAGCCACCGAGCCTGGCCTGTATTTCCATTTTCTAAGATCATAGTTTTATTAGATACTCATTCCCCCTTAATTAACATCCTTGTATATGACATAAATGATTGTTACCTTAAGTATCACCTCAGTTTATTGATTTTTAAAAAGAATCTCACCCGGGCATGGTGACTCATACCTGTAATCCCAGCCCTTTGGGAGGCAGAGTCTAGAGGAATGCCTGAACCAAAGGGTTTGAGACCAACCTGGGCAACTTGACGAGACCTACAATAAACCAAAAAATTAGCCGGGCTTGGTGGCTCAACCTGTAATCCTGTGCTTTGGAAGGCCGATGTGAGTGGATTGCCTGAGCCCGCGGATTCGAGTCCCACCTAGGCAACTTGGTGAGAATTCATCACTACAATAAATCAAAAATTAGCTGGTCGTGGTAGTGCACGCCTGTAGTTCCAGCTACTTGGAAGGCTGAGGCGGAAGGATTGCTGGAGCCCAGCAGGTCGAGGCTGTAGTGGCCGGGAGTGGCCACTGCACTCCAGTCTGGGTGACAGAATTAGACTCTGACTCAAAATAAAAAATAAATCAAAAAATTAACTGGGCATGGCAGCACATGCCTGTGGTTCTAGCTACTTGGAAGACTGAAGTGGAAGGCTCACCTGAGCCCAGTGGATCAGGCTGTGGTAGCCATGAGTGTGCCACTTGCACTCCAGCCTGGATGACAGAGTGAGACTCCAACTAAAAAAAAATAATTAAGCCGGGCTCGGTGGCTCAGCCTGTAATCCTGCGCCTTTGGGAGGCTGAGGTGAGTGGATTGCCTGTGCCCGCGGGTTCGAGACCCGCCTGGGCAGCGAGACCTCATCTCTACAATAAATCAAAAAAAAAATCAGCCGGGCGTGGTAGCACATGCCTGTAATTCCGGCTACTTGGAAGGCTGAGGTGGAAGGATTGCCGGAGCCCAGCAGGTCGAGGCTGCGGTGGCCGGGAGCGGCCACTGCACTCCAGTCTGGGCGACTGAGTGAGACTCCAACTCAAAAAAAAATAATAATAATAATTATAATAAGCCGGGTTCGGTGTCTCAGCCTGTAATCCCAGCACTTTGGGAGGCTGAGGTGAGTGGATTGCCTGAGTCCGTGGGTTCGAGACCCGCCTAGGCAACTTGGCAAGACCTCATCTCTACAATAAACCAAAAATCAGCCGGGTGTGGTAGTGCGCGCCTGTAGTTCCAGCTACTTGGAAGACTGAGGCAGAAGGATCGCCGGAGCCCAGCAGGTCGAGGCTGCGGTGGCCGGGAGCAGCCACTGTACTCCAGTCTGGGCAATAGAGTGAGATTCCAACTCAAAAAATAAAAAAATTAAAATAATAATAGTTATAATAACTTATTAGATTTAGAAACCTTTCCTACCTAAGATTTTGTTTTGTTTTTTAATTAGTATTAAGTTGTGCTCAAAATTGCTTTTTTGTCTCTGCGGGGCACATGTCATTAAGTGTGCAGTAAGCAGCTTCTACCTTGTAACCTGAGTGAAGAAGACCTGTTACAGAACCCATACTTCAGCAAGCTGCTCCTGAGCCTCTCACAGCATGTGGATGAGAGTGGCTTAAGCCTGGCCTTGGCAAAGGAGCAGGCTCAGGTAAGAGCCCTGGGAGGAGGGATGATAGGAGGAAGGAGAAATCCTCCCAAGACAGAGGTTACTACCTGGGATTTTTTTGATTTCTAGGCATGGAAGGAAGTTCGACTGCATAAGGCAACATGGTTGAGGTTTGAGATTTTACAGCGAGTCATTCAAGAGCTGCTTGTGGAATACTATGTAAAGGCACAAGACATACATTTAACTCCTGAGGACAAAAAGGTGAGACAGAAGAGATGAAGTAGGGGTTGGTTACCAGCTATAAGAATGACCAGGCCAACTGTGGCTTTGTCTAATGATGTGATGTAGGGGAAGTAGGAGCTTTGAGAAATGTGTTATCAAAAAGGAAATGGAAGACTGTACTTTCAGGGATCATTTCTATAGTTCGTTACTAGAGAAGTTTCTCTGATCATGTAGAGCACCAGAAACCACAAGGAGGAGGCACAGCATTGTCTCCTGAGCATGAAGCCGGCTCTTGGTGTTGCTTTGCTGCAGCTGCCATTTGCCATTGATGATCATTCTTTTCTTCCTCTGAGAGAGTAAGAGGATTCAGTCTGAGTGGTTTCTCGTTACAATAAATAAAAGTAAATAAATAAATAAGAAACAGACTGTTGTTATGGGGGAAGAAGTAGAGGTTATGTTGTTGTCAGGGTTTGAAATAGAAAGATTGACAGGAGAAGGCACTCACAGCTGAGGAGTTATCTGCAGGGGATGACATGTTTGAGGACTTTGAAAATGTATGAAGAGGGCCGGGGGCAGTGGCTCAAACCTGTAATCCCAGCACTTTGGGAGGCTGAGGAGAGTGGATTGCCTAAGCCCGCGGGTCTGAGACCAGCCCGGGCAACTTGGCAAGACCTCGTCTCTACAAAAAAAAAAAAAATATATATTAGCTGGGTGTGGTAGCACACACCTGTAGTTCCAGCTAATTGGAAGGCTGAGACAGAAGGGTCACCTGAGCCCAATGGGTACACGCTGGGGTGGCTGTGAGCATGCCACTGCACTCCAGCCTGGGTGACGGAGTGAGACTCTGACTCAAAAAATAAAAATAAAGTGTATGAAGAACTGGTTGATAAGGATGGAAAAGTTGGAGTGGGAGAAGGTTCGTAGTCATCTCTTTGTTTTTTATTCTCTCTCTCAGTTTCATGAGACTCTTGAACAGCGACTGCTTGTGACTGAACTGACACAGCTCTTAGGTCCTAGCCAGGAGAGCGAGATACCTCCACTGCTAGGGCTGGTGAAAGCAGACCTTCTGGAACTCATGCCATCCTCAGAGGTTGGGACCAAAGAAGTGAAACGGCTTAATTTATCCCATATCTGTAGCATTTTTTTGTTAAGCTTTATTGTTTTTGTAAAAATGATACATGTGCCGGGCTCGGTGGCTCAGCCTGTAATCCCGCGCCTTTGGGAGGCTGAGGTGAGTGGATTGCGTGAGCTGCGGGTTCGAGATCCGCCTGGGCAGTGAGACCTCATCTCTACAATAAATCAAAAAATCAGCCGGGTGTGGTAGCGCATGCCTGTAATTCTGGCTACTTGGAAGGCTGAGGCGGAAGGATCGCCAGAGCCCGGCGGGTCGAGGCTGCGGTGGCCGGGAGCGGCCACTGCACTCTAGTCTGGGTGACAGAGTGAGACTCCAACTCAAAAAAAAAAAAATGATACGTGTTCAGTGTGGTCAGACTCAAGAAAAACACAGTCCTCATTAGTGTAATGGTGAGAAAAAATTTATACAGAAGCAGGTAAACTTAAGCTGAAATATTACATCTAGAATCACATTATTATCATAAACAGCTTGACATAAATGTTATTATACTTGCTTGGCACAAAGGCTCACACCTGTAATCCCAGCACTTTGGGAGGTAGGTGGGAGGATTGCCAGAGCCCAGGGGTTTGAGACCAGCCTGGGCAATATGGCAAGTACTTGTCTCTACAGAAAATTTTTAAAAATTAGCTGGGCATGGTGGCGCGTGTCTGTAGTTCATCTACTTGAAAGGCTGAAGCGGAAGGATTACCTGAGTCTAGCAGGTCGAGGCTGAGGTGGCCATGTGTGCACCACTGCACTCCAGCCTGGCGGCAGAGTGAGAGTCCAACTAAAAAAAAAAATGTCTTCTCAGTGGCTCATCCTGTAATCCAGGCACTTTGAGAGGCCAAGGCAAGTAGATTGACTGAGCCCGTGGGTTCGAGACCAGCTGGGGTAATTTGGTAAGACCTAATCTCTACAATAAATAAAAAATTAGGCAGGCATGATAGCCCCTACCTGTAGTTCAGCTACTTGGAAGGCTGAGGCGGAAGGATCATCTGAGCCCAACAGGTCGATGCTGGGGTGACCCTGAGCATGCCACTGTACTCCAACCTGGGTGACAGAGTGAGATCCAACTCAAAAAAAAAAAAAAGGTATACTCTTCATGCTTATATGGAGAGTATAATCACTGGGCTCAGTGGCTCAGCCTGTAATCCCACTCTTTGGGAGGCCGAGGTGAGTGAATTGCCTGAGCCCGCAGGTTCAAGACCCTCCTGAGCAACTTGGCGAGGCCTCATCTCTACAATAAATAAAAAAAATTAGCCAAGTGTGGTAGCGCATGCCTGTAGTTCCAAGTACTTGGAAAGCTGAGGCAGAAGGATCGTCGGAGCCCAGAAGGTTGAGGCAGCGGTGGCCGAGAGCGTGCCACTGCACTCCAGTCTGGGCAACAGAGTGAGATTCAAACTTAAAAAAAAAAAAGAGAGTGTAATCTATTTTCATGTAATATAGTTTGGACTTCATTTTTTGTTTTGTTTTGTTTTTGAATTTGAGTCTTACTTTGTTGCCCAGACGAGTGCAGTGGCATGCTCACAGCCACCGCAGCCTCAACCTGTTGGACTCAGGTGATCCTTCCGCCTCAGCCATCCAGATAGCTAGAATTACAGGCACATGCCACTACGCCCAGCCAATTTTTTTATTTATTGTAGCGATAACGTGCCAAGTTGCCCACGCTGTTCTTGAACCCGTGGGCTCAGGCAATCCTCTTGTCTAGGCCTCCCAAAGTGCTGGGATTATAGGCATGAGCCACCCCTGGCCTTTTTTTTTTTTTGAATTGGAGTCTCACTCTGTTGCCCAGACTGAAGTGTGGTGGCCGCACCTGGCCACCGCAGCCTCGACCTGCTGGGCTCCGGCGATCCTTCCACCTCAGCCTTCCGAGTAGCGGGAATTGCAGGTGCGCACTACACGCCCGGCTAATTTTTTAATTTATTGTAGAAATGAGGTCTCGCCTGCCCAGGCGGGTCTCGAACCTGCGGGCTCAGGCAAT